TCAATAGATTCTATCAAGAGCAAATCTATTAGATGTTTCCGTCCTTCGCCATCCAACCATCTATTTTATATGCCTCTCTAGGTGGAGAATGTTTTATCACCAGAAGTGTAAGCATCTGGAGACCAAAACATGCTTTAGCAATGCTTTAAAGAAAGAAAACAGGCTTGACAGAACCCCTGGGTCTGATGTCATCCAAGCGGAGCGATGGGACGCCCAAATACCGACTGACATTTACAAAGAGATACTTACCGACTTCCCTGGCCCAGAAAAGCAAACACTGATTTAATTCATGTTCTGCTCAGCTATTTAATTTTCTAAAACTGATTTAGAAAATGTGGTCTGAGAATTTTTAAAAACCTGTGTATATCATGTAGCCTGTACGGGGGACTGTACCCTGGCAACATTTAACTGGACCCAGCAAATCTGACTGAAGGTCTGCTCTGTGCCGGGAATTAACAAGGTGAATAAGGACCGACTGGGGCCCTGCAGGAGCCCACATTTTTGTTGGGGGGCAGGGAGGATGACACACTAGCCTGAGTGACCTTGTGTGTGGCACAAGCCCCAGCCTTTAAGACGGCAAAGAAGAGACTGAAGGCAATTCACGTTGCTGAGTGTGAATGCCCATGGAAATTCAGCCGTGCTATTTCTATTGGAAGCGTTATTGGTTTTGTAGCACTCTGATTATGAAGTTGCAAACGTTTAAAAAAAAAAAATTCAGTGTGCTTCTTGCACAACAGGAGTATCTACAAAGTGATGTGATGTAGGGGTCACCTAAAAGCTGGTAAGAGTGCAGCAGGACAGCCTGGGTGGTAGCTACAGGGCCGTGCTCCAGAACTAAACCACCTGGGTTTTAAACCCAGCCCTGCCCCTTACTAGCTGTGTGATGACGCGCAAGTCATTTAATATCTTCGTGTTTTAGTTTGTCATCTGTATAATGGGGTTAATCAAACCTACGTTATAGAGCTTTTGTGAGGATTAATGGATTAATAACCGTAAAATGCTTAAAACAGTGCCTGGCACAGTGCAATCACTACATAAATTTAAGTGTTGATAAGGTCTAAGTTGAGCCAGGCCTGGTGGTCTGTCTAGTGGTTAAGATTTGGCTCACACTGCTGCAGCCAGGGTCTGTTTTCCGGTCAGGGAACTGCCCCACCCCTCTATCGGTTGTCATACTGTGGTGGCTGCATGTAGCTGTGATGCTGAAGGCTCTGCCACCAGGATTTCAAATACCAGCAGGGTCACCCATGGTGGGCAGGTATCAGCGGAGCTTCCAGACTAAGACAGACTAGGAAGAAGGACCTGGCCCCTCACTTCTGAACAAACTGGCCATGAAAACCCTATGAACAGCAGCAGAGCATCGTCTGATACAGCGCTAGGAGGTGAGAGGATGGCGCAGAAAGACCGGGCAGGGTTCTGCTCTGCTGTCCACAGGGGCGCTAGGAGGCTGAATCCACATCAACTACACTGTGACCAATACGCTTTTTTTCTTTTTCTAAATCCCTAGAAATTTCTAAAACTGGGAATTGCCATCTCAATACAGAATTTGGCAAGGAAAATATTGAAAACATGCAGCATAAAACAAAACGATTCACCCAACCCACCACTTCCCTTCCTCCCCATTTCCCTGTGGAACAGCCACCTCCCTTCTCTGGGGAGCCGGAGTGGGTGGGCTGTTCCATCCATGAGACGCTGCAGGCACCGCATGGACGGCCTGCCAGCTGTTCATGTGCCTCTGTTTGGGACCAGAAAAATAAATTTGGGGCTCCAAAACATGAAAGAAAAACCCTTGCAAGACTGAAATTTAATGTTTTATTAACTGTAACATCAACTTCAATAATGTTGAATTTAACTCTTGCCTACTTGATGGTTGCCAAGAAATAATGATGGTTAATTAAATGTTTAAAAACAATTTAAAAGCAAACTATTCAAGTCCTTTCCCTACATAGAAGAATGAGGTTTAGTGTGGAAGAGGGGTCACACTTTGGAAATGCTGCTCCTGCTGCAGTGACTTTTCAGAGGAAGCAGAGAGGAAGGGGTGAATAACGCCCCCCCATGAAATTAAGAGTAATCACCAATCTCAATAGAATCTGCCTCCTGTAGGGGCTTCCTAGCCACTGATATCTTTCAGAGGTTCAGGTGTGGCCCCCAAAGCTCTGAGCATCGGGATTTCTCGTTCTCAAATGTAATCAGGTGTTTTCAAGGTTCACCACCTGTCAGGGTAAAATGCCCATCTTCTCCATTTGTAAAGAGCACTTTCTTTGAGCAGAAGCTGCCTGTTTCAAGTTTCTTGGCTAGTTTCCCAGTCCCTGTACTGTAGAATCTGGAACGTCAGAACTAACAGCCCAAGAGTGTCCAACGGCGTCATTTTCATATGACGGACACTGAGTGCTGACAGAGGGTATGTCACCTCCACACGGCGACACAGCCAGTCCATGTCAGACCTGGGACCAGAACTCGGCGTTCTTGGCGTTCAAATCCGGGCTTTCCTCTGAATCCCCAACACTGCGCTGCCCTGGTCTGCATTCTGGTTGGCTTCCTTTGAGAGCACTGGTGGTCTGACTCTCCAGGCTGGAACAGCGATCTTTTCGGTATGTTGGGAGGAATGTGTTGTGGTGGTCAGGCACACAGTATCCAGAATGATATAAATCCAAACCCACATGCTGGCTTGACTGTGGCAAATGCCTTAACTTCTCTGAGCTCCCACACAGCAGGGGGTAGTACGAGCTACTCCACGGGCTGCCTGGCACGAACTGAGGCTCATTAAATCAGCACGTGCTCTCGAGTGGCAACTCCCCCCAAAGTCACTGATGTAAAGTTAATCAGGCAGCTGGTGTCTGTCCTTCACTCCATTTGTTTATACTCTCCAGGGCTCACGCCAGCCTTCGGGGTGATCTCTTACTCAGGGCCAGCAGGAGTGAATACCCATTTCACTGACTTCTTAGCCCCTGGACCTGCTGGGGTGTGGTCTGCTGGGCTGAGCTCAGCAAAGCTCCCTGAGAAGCAAATGGTACAGAGAGAAAGATGAATATACCAGGCTTTCCAAAAGCAATCATCAAGTGTGGTTATCAGAGAATTTTTATGCAATAGCCCAGTGGAAGGAAGCAGAGATACAAATTAACCTCTGATTTATATTAGCCATGGGGGTGAATTATATGACACTGGAGGCTTGGTAGCAGATTTTCCTTCTGGATTGTTTTCTGCACAAGCGACAATTAAGATTTATAGCTAGCCCCTGAGTGCACATCAGCTCACAGGCTGGGACGCCAGCCCAGAGGCCTGGGGATCTCACGGTCTGAGGGTGCAGCTCACACAGAAACGGGAAGTTAACTTTTGATTTTCGTTTGCCAAATGTGTGAGAAGGCTTTGTTCGTTTCTCCAAAGCCCAGAGTTTATAACACTCTCTCCACACTATGCGATCTGCCAAGGGCCAACCTCCACAGCAGGCCGCCTGGGGAGGAAGGGGCGGTAGGGCCCCACTGACGGCGTTATTTTTGAGCAGACCACAACAGCCCAGGCCTTCACAAGCTAGTCTGGAATTTTAGCCAGCTGCTTGTTAGCTCCGTAGGGAAAACTCCAGCAGTGGTCTGTCAATAGTCAAATCTGATGTCCCTTGTGTGCGGGCTAAGTTTTGTAGGAAGGCTACTCGGTCCATTCCTTCATTTGGAAAGCTGCTGTGGAGCAGGAAAGTCGTCTTCAGGCTGGCCTCACCCCTGCCCAGGATCTCCCCATGAGGTGGCCACAGGAGAAAGAGCATCCATGGCTTCATCAGGCAAGGGTTGGAACCCTCACTCTATCCAGTCTCAGCTGTTTGACCTTTGACAAGCGGGTCTCAACTACTCATCTCTGAGTACAGAGGGTACCCGGCACACCAGGAGTCCAGTAAACGTAGCTCTAACCATCTTTCTGCTCGTGAGGAAACTCTGAGTAACAAGCTCCTTCTTTCCAAGAAAGCACTCTTTTTCACCTTTCTAGACTCTAGCAAAGAAAAATATTGCCAGTCTCCACAGAGACCCGTGAAAGCACCAGGGGCTCTCCACACCGAGACGTGGCCGCCCCAGCAACCTCAGTGAGAACCACATGGTGTCTTTATCCTTGGCAGGGGTACCAGTCACATTCGTGGCCACTTCTACTCTTAGGGAAAATAAACTGGCTTAAAAAAAAAAAAAATCAGCCCTACGGACAAGCTGGAGGACAAGAGATTTAGGACATTTCTTGGGCCATATTGGACCAGAAGCCAGAAAGCAACATGTTTAGGTCCTAATCCAAACACTTGCTTAGTCGGGGCCTCACACGCCTGATGCTAGTTTGGATTCTTGACCAGAAGCTGAGCTGAGTTTGGAAGTGTATCCGGAGCAGGCGACTCCCAGCGGGTAGAACGCGTGTTCTGTGTCCCTCCCACCTCTCCTCTGTGTTTTTGTCTTCAGGTTTGGCCCAAGGCCCGGTGTCACAGTACCTTGGGCGGCCAGGACAGTCCTTATAGGAACATCAGGAACCTACCACTCGCCCATCAGCCTGGCCTTACAAGGAACGAGTTAATTGATACTTTTCTCTCTCAGACAGCTTATAGTCTGGTTGGGAAGATAAAATTACCAGTCTCTCTAAATATTTAATCTTTTTAAATCACGTAAGATTATTCCAAAGCCATAGGCATGATAATTTCTCAATAGAATCAAGATTTTCAGTGTGGAGAGTGTCTCGTGGAGACTGGACATGTGTCACCTCTCTTGGGCAACCAGAACTACTTGCGCCTCAGGGCACATTTCTATAGTGCAGTCTAGTTAGCATCCTTCTTTCTTGTCTCAGTTTATCATCGCCTCCCCCATGTCAGGGTGATCCCTCACTGAGGGTCCTGTGAAGGAGTATATCAAATAGCGGCTTTCTAGCCGGCTGGCAGAGGCACTCACTACCCTTAAGCACTTCGTTTGACTCTCCACTCCATCTTTTCCCCAAGAGATCATGGCTTTTAACACAGACCACATGCAGTGAAACCATTACTAACGTTACAATCATAAGGCAGCAGTGGTGTTTGGGGACCAGAAGGCATGGGGTGGGGATGTCTGAGCACTGCCCACTGGGCACACTCCCCTCCAGTCTCTGATAAGGTCGGCTAGTGTGACCAGACAGGTTTTCTCTTCTGGATGAAGGCCTTGATTCCCTCCTGCCCATCTGGCAGGGCTATGTTGTCCACCATGGTCTGGGAGGTGAGGTAGTAGGCTGTTCTAAGGTCCTGGGGCAGCTGCTTGTAGAAGCTGGCCTTGCCCAAAGACACCACAACACGGCTCAAGGAGGCAATCTTTTTTGCTATCTTCATGGTCTCCTCCTCCAGCTGTTCTTCAGGCACCACTTTGCTGAGCAGCCCATGGAGCAAGGCCTCCTGAGCAGAAATGGGCTCCCCAGTAAAAAGCATTTTTAAGGCGACCTGAGGGAGAAAAGATGTGCGATTATTAAGGCATCTCCTTGTGACCCACTGCCCCCTACATCCCACGCTGTCCATGTCACTCTGCTGAGATGGTCAGTCTCCTGACCTGCCTACGACCTCAGCCCAGTTATCTGCCTCCTCAGATAGCATCTCACCCATCACCCCTAATGCCTTCAATACCCCAACTCCTGCCAGGGACAGGTGGCATCTTTCCCAGAGCAAGCAAAACATCAGTGCCCAGGGGAGGGAGTGACCCCTTGTGTCCTCTCTTTCCTTCCCAGATCTGAGCGCCCAGCCTCTGCTGAGGCAGGAGATTCACCTGCCTGTTTCACCGGCCAAGCCCAGGACAGCGGCCCATCTGATGGGATGAAAGGGAAAAGGCCGCAGCGAAGACGCCCAGGGCCTCCCACACACCAATGCGGCGGCCCCTTTCCAGAGGGAGGAAACGTTCGGGGCTGCCATCACCTCAGTCTGATTTGAAAGAGCAGCTTCCCGTAAACCAGAGGAGGAGGGGTTGAAAGGAGATGTCTCCCAGGCACCAGGCCTAGGGGCCCAGCATGATCTTAACTTCCGAATGGGGGAGACCTGGCGGCAGAAGAGCCCTCCTCCCCCCAAACTTCGATGTCCGCAGAAAGGGGAGTGTAACCTCCTGACTCTGCCACAGTGTGCCTCGATTCTCTAATTCTGCAAAGCCCGGCTTCCGGAAACTCAAATTTACAACTTAAAGAGGGGTTTCTGGATGGACAGGGAACACACAGGGGGTGAAGCAACCCTCCTCTCCCTCTCCCCTCGGGCACTCTCCTGCAGCCCTGCTGGCAGCTTGGCTGTTCCTGGAACATGCCAGGTGTGCTGTCACCCCAGGGTCCGTGTACTGCTGTTCCCTCAGCCTGCAATGCTCTGTGTCCAGGTGTCCTCACGGCTTGTGCCCTCATCTCCTTCGGGTCTCTGCTCACGTGTCACTTTATCGATGAGGTCCTCCAGGACACTCTACAAAAACTGCAAATCAAACCCCAGCACTGTCCCCCTTTCTGGCTGTATCTTATCCTTTGCACTGTCACCATTTAACATACTATATACTTGACATGTTTATTTGTTTATTGTATTACCTCCTTCGCTAGCATGTAAACTGCACTAGGTCAGAGAGGTTTTTTTTTTCCACTGTTCTGTTTATTTCTGTATCAGCAGCACCAGAAGGGTACCCCGCATATTGTAGGCAACCTGCTAGATATCGATTGATGAGTGATCTAGAGGACAAATGGATGAAGGCTGAGAGAGGACAGCAGAAGGGATGCTCCAGCCCTTTAGAGGCCAGGTCAAAAGGGGAGACAGCTTCCACTGGGCTCTTGGGCTCTCTCTCTTGGGCTGCTCAGCCTTGGGACCGGCCACCATGCTGTGAGGAAGCGCAAGCCACACTGAGAGGCTAAGTGTTCCAGCTGAGAAGCAGCCTCAACAGGTCACATGAGACACGGGAGTGAACAAGCCCTCAGATGACTGTCCCCAGCTGTCACTCCCCCATCTTCACTCTTCCCAGCTGAGGCCACAGACGTTGTGGAGCAGAGACAAGCTCTCCTCGCTGAGCCCCATCCAAATCGCAGATTCAGGAACTAAACAAATTACTGTTGTCGTTCTGAGCCACCAAGTTGCAGGTGGTTTGTTATGCAGTAATAGACAACTGGACCAGCTTGGGATATAAATTTAGGAGTCACTGGCATTTAGATCTTGCTAATGACTAGGTTTCTCAACCTAGGTGCCATTGTATATTTTGGACCACATAATTTTTTGTTGTGTGGGATTGTCCTGTGTATTGTAGGATGCTTAGCAGCATCCCCAACCTCTACCCACTGGGTGCCAATAATACCCCCACCAGCAGTTGTGACAACCAAAAATGTCCCCAGGCATTGCCAAACGTCCCCTGGGGCCAATAATGCTCCCAGTCTAGAACCACCGATTTAGACGGTTTTTTAAGTCATGAGACTAGATTGGATCACCTAGAACCAAGCTTTGATAGAGAAGGAGAGGCCAGAAGGCTGGGCCCGAGGACTCTTGCCATCACGGGTACAGATGGAGTCCACGCTGGACTGGCAGTCAGGGAAAGGGGATTGGGGCCCCATTTTCTCCTCTGCAAAGTCAGGGGAGTGGACTAAACCCCAACTTCATCCAATTTTGGAAATTTAATGATTCCACATTGGAGGCAGCAGGAACATAATGCCTGTGGGTCAGAGATGATTTTTTAGTCGACCAGGAACAGCATCTCACTCCAAAGCATGTTTGAAGTGCTGGTTGAACATGGAGCTAAAAACCATGTCCTGCTGACTCAGGGCTGCTAAGTAAGACCCTGCTGAGGAGACCCGGTGAGTCACAGTGCAGGGGCCAGGGTAACATCCACTCCATCGCTGCCCGAGAAGCACATGGCAGCTGGGACATAGGTCAGAAGCCAGGGGAAAGCAGAGTCCCTGCACCTTCCAGCCTTTTTTTTCCTCTGCCAATGCAGGTGGCTCTCAGGGAATCCACGTGGCCCATGTATCAGAAAGTGACTGATCCCGAAAACGACACGAAAAAGCAAACCCACCAAAGTCAAGCGCATCAATCCCCTCATAACTTAGAATGGCCAAGACCTCAGATGACTTTTAAAGAGTGGTTATGAATGGCAGCAGAGCCGGCAGAAGGAACTCATTAAAATCAAAGCAGTAGGTGCTCCCCTGGCTGGCTCAGCAGACAGGCATTTATTCAGCCCGTGCAGTTGGTACCTACTGTTTGCGCTCCTGATCTGTCCATGGGACAGTGTCCTTATCAGTGCCTTCCTCTGAGAGGTGCCTTCTTCAGCGTCTCTGTTCCTTTCATGTCCCTCCCTCTCCCAGAGCCTCTTCATTTCCATTCTCCTTCCCAGGCTCCGTTACACGTTTATAAAGTGCCTGTCTGACTCAGATACTGCAGCTGCACAGGATCGAGGTGCCCCAAGAAGTTCTCAGTGCAAGTCCTTTGGAGCCCCAGCTTCCGCAGGCCGGGGCACGGGGCAGGGCTCTGTGGGGGCCTCGTCCCACCTGCTGAGCGTCCTCATCCAAAGGACCCCTGAGCAGGTTGCTTCTCATCTCCCACTTCCCCAACTGGAACACATGAGCACAAATGACTGTCTTCCAGGGGTGCTGTGAAGAACAGCTAACTGAGGACTGCGGGGCACACTGTCCCATCGAGAGCAATGGAAATGCTGGAAAGAACGGTCCATTTGAGCTGGACATAAGCCGGGGAAATAACTGTGATGGTTTTGCTTGCAGACGAGAAGCTCAAGGGACCTGGCATGAGTCTGTGTTTATGAGGACACTGACCAACTCACATGAGGAACTCACATCAGAGCGTAACTTTCTCTTGTACCTTCATCCATTCACTGAACAAATATTCATATAGGAAATCTATGTGTCAAGAATAGTGCTATGGACCGAACTGTGTCTCCCCAAAATTCGTATGTTGAAGCACTAACCCCCAATGTGACTGTATTTGGAGATGGGGCCTAGAAGGAGAAAAGGTTAAATGAGGTCATGAGGGTGGGGCCCTAATTCAACAGGATTGGTGGCCTTATAAGAAGAGGAATATCTCTCTGCCATGTGAGGACACAGAGAGACAACGGCCGTCTGCAAGCCAGAAAGAGAGCTCTCCCCAGAAACCAATCTCCTGGCACCTTGATCTTGGACTTTCAGCTTCCAGAATTGTCAGAAAATAAATTTCTGTTGCTTAAGTCATCCAGTCTGTGGTATTCGTTATGGCAGCCCAAGCTGACTAATACACACAGGAAGATTATCGATTTTTGTAATATCTTAATTCCAAAGCAACTCCAAAAATTTGCTTTAGGAAAAAAAAAAAAAGCTTATAGGTCCCTGAACTGAATCACTCTGGGAGCACATGGAATCCTAACCCTTGGAGACGTGTGAACAGGGCCGACCCCTGTCTGTCAGAGAGAGACGGTTCTGCTCACAGGAGAATTAAATGACCTCTGAAATTCCCTTCTAGATAAAAGACTTCTAATGTTATTTAAGGATCTCTAATCATAAACAAAAAGCAAGTGACCTTTTGGACAGAAAGGATATTTTCCCCTTATGTCAGTGAGTCAGTCAGCGAAATAGAGAAAGACAGAGATAGACAGCTAGTCAGAACAAGAGACACAGTCAGAAATCAGTCAGAATATAGTCAGATTCTATAGGTTCCTCTACTAAGTTCTGGGCTCTGTGCTCAGCACATTTGGAAATAAAATGGTGCCCAGACACCACCCCAGCCTCTCTTGTTACCAACAGTCCAGTGGCTACAAGGACCGTTAAATTCAGAAAACACCTCACATGGAAATATTTTCAAAGGTGCAAGACACGCATCTTTCTGGAACACTCTGACTGCAGCCTCGCCTGCAGGCAGGTGAAAGGACCACCGCATGCGGCCACGTCCCCGCTACTCCTGGATTCATCAGCACTTATTTTTGATACAAACTTCTTTTACTACCACTTACACGGATTCACTTACAGTGAAAAAATCCTAATCATTAAATAGTAGGAGGTTTTATTTATGTCCCTCCCCCTCCTCTTTCCCTCTCTGTGTAGAATGACAGACTCTCCCGTGGAGAAGGATGAGGAGGGATGATGAAGAAGGCTTGGTCTCCGCTGTGCGCCAGGTCTCCTGGGGTTTCGGAACCCGATTCTGGGGGCCTCCGCTTGGTCGCAGGCTTTGGCGTCAGGCACACGAGGTCTGCTCCTTAGTCTCATCTCAAACCCAGGCAGCACAACAGACAAACTGCCTCCCAGGAGTGCCAGTTTTTAAAAAGAAAGAAGTCAGGAGAAGAAGCGGAGCACCCGGGACGGTGGACAGGGGCTGGCTGAGTGGCTTCCTTCTTGCGAACCACTGGATGCGTCCCAGTAGAGGCAAACAGGAGAGAAAGGGCCCCTGTGGCCCTCAGTGATGGAGGCAAAGCGGGAGTGGGGTCAGCCAGAGCGCCGGGGCACGCCAGCCTCCACGTGGACCGGGCAGGGCACTCTCCCTCGTGCTTCCCCTGTCCTGGCACCTCTCCCTGCAGTCCTGAAGACCAAGAAGGTCTCAATGGGATCAGCGCTCTCACAAAAGAAGTCTAGAGGAGTAAGGTCAAGGCCTGAGTCCCTGGCCCTGCCCTCGGCTTCCTAGGTCATCCCCACTTAGTCTCCAACCCTCTCTGGGCCTCAGCTTGCCAATCTGCCTAGTGGGGCAATACTACTTAGCACCATATTGCTTTACAGGGATTTTACCCAAACAGATTAGATAATAGAGTGTCATTCCCTAAGAAAAAGAAAGCCTATTTATTTTATAGCGAATCAGCACAATCTTTACTTAAAGTCTCTATGTGCTGTGCCCCCGAAACTTCAGATGAAAGAGAAGAAGACACGTCCCCTCACTCTCTTCGCCAATCAACCATGCAGCCTTTCAGGGCGGCCCTCCTTGGGTCACCCTAACTAGTGGTGGCTTAATACTTCCCCCTCCGGGGGTATCTGCATTAAAACGACAGAAGGCCCTTGAGGCCCAGGCCCACCCCAGAGGCAGGGGGACCTGGGTCTGGAGTCAAATGTCCCTGAGCTCCGATCCCAGATCAGCCACTTACTGACCACAGGACCTTAAGGAAGTGACTTAACACCTCTGAGTCTGTTTCCTCATCTGAAAGACAGGAGTAAGGCCTCCATCCTCCTGCAGAATTGTGAGGATTAGAGAAAGTACGTGTAAGGCTCACAGTACAGAGCTGGGCGCTCAGCAGGCAGCTGATAAATGCAGAGGCTACTATTAACACGCCGATTCCAACTGTAAATTTGTATGACTCTCAAACGTTGGCTTTTAGGTGTCACCGCCCCTGAAAGGGGGTGATTATTTAAAGTAGGGGGTGCTCAGATCCCCTCAAGGCACACCTATGACAAGACCCAGCTGGCGGTATGTGGGCGTCAGGGGTTGCCACGCGGCAGGACTCAGGGGAGGGGAGCTGAGGGAGGATCGCCAGGCCCATTTAACTGGCTGGGAAACGCTAGGTGAGTCGCTGGACCCCCCAGGCCCTCTGTAAGTTGGGGTGTTGAACTGCGGGTTCTCGAAGGCGCCGAGGCCGCGTGTCCCACTGTGACGGCCTCGCAAACCACCCTTAAAAAGCAGATTCTGACACGCTGGGTCTGGGGGGGGCCTGGGACCCTGCGTTTCTCCCGGGCTCTCTGGTGATCAGCCCACCAGGCCGAGCGGCAAAGCTTTACACTTCCAGCTTGGAAGCTCTACTGTGTTCTGATGAGACTCTTAGGAAATCAGATGCTAGAGTCACAACGTTACCATGGCAAATAGGAGGAAGCAAGTGTTCCCACCGCGGAGGCATGGCTGGTCTGGGAGGAGGGGGTTCGGATCTTTCCTGCGCTCTACCTGACACCAACTGCTCGAGGCGCTGGCTCCACGTTTCTGAACCAGGCCAGCTCCGACTGGGGAAGGGAGCAGCTGCGCCAGGCAGGTTGTGTAGATGGTGCAAGGCAGATGCATTATTTAGCTCACGCCAGAGGAAAGAGACACTTCACAAATGTGGAAGATTATTCACGCCCAGGCTCAGCTGGGCTTGAACACAAGGGCTCCACTCCCGGTTTCTGCTCCCAGTGGACGAACCGCAGCCCCTTGGTCTCTCGGTCTCCTCAGCTGCGCAGTTTCCCGTGGTGACCAGCAGAGGGCACTGGTGACCCACACGTGTGGCCTTAGCTGGCGTGGAAAGGGCCGAGCTTCCCAGGCAGGCCGGGTTGCAAAAGCAGCTGCTTGCTTCCCTGTGGACGTGCAGGGGGACAGTGCCCCCCACCCACACACAGGTGACGGCCTCTGTACGGATGTGTTCGTATGGGTGCACGCAAGCAATGGCGACAGGCAGGTTTAGATTTCTGTGAATCCCTAGTTTTCCACCTAAAGGGGGCCACACAGGTGAAGGCTGCAGATCCAGAAACACGGCAGAGGCCGTACCTTCCTACTAGATTCCCGGTATCAGTACTGCGATTTCAGCTCATTGGTGTTGACCGCAAACCTCAGGTAGCCCAACATCAATGAGCCCAATGTGTAGGCGCATCTACTGACAACTCTGAGCCACTTTCAGATGGCCAACTAGGAAAAAACTCCGAAGGCTTGAAAACAATTCACAGGCTTCCTGGGGATCAGACCACGAGGAGTGCAGATCAGGGATCTGAGCGGGGAAATACTGGAGACTCTTTGCCCCGTCTTCTGCGCAGGGCTGGCCCCTTGCAGAAACTGTCTCTGGAAGGTAAAAGCTACTTTGGTTCTTATAACGTCCTGCCCCTTAATCTGTCACACTGGGCAATTATGCAATGTGGTTCTGAGAACTGGGCTTCCTGGGAACTGAAGGCATGTTTCTGTCACATTTTTCTCCCTCTTTCTTCTCAAAAACTAATTTAAAATTTGACAAATATGAGATAATGTTTAAGTTTCTAGGACTCAATTATAAGCCTTGATTTACAAAGTTTGTTTTGAGAAAGAATGGATTCTTATCCTGACAGTAGGGCTGATTTAAGGGTTTCAAATGCCTTGACACGGAACCTTCCAGAATGTCAGGTGTTGAAGGAGATGAACAGCCACAGGCAGGCTAACCAGTACAGCTGCCTTTAACCATGCCAAAGGCCTCGTGATTTGACTTGCACAATTATAAGAGTTTATTAACAAGCTCTGACAATATATTACAATGCACCTTAATTTAATGTACTGGCACAAAGTAGAGACTTAAGAAGTATTTATTGAATTGGTATATACACATTTTAGGTAAATGTGTATCCTGACAGGATCCAAACACCCCCTTGGACATGAGGACATTTAAGCAAGTTCTTGTGTTTGGACAGGTCACCCTGTGCAGTGTAGAGCCCACGTCCAGCCAGTTTTCATAAGTGTGTGTGCTTGGAGGTATCTGTCTTCAGAATTCTCTCACAAACACACATTTCTGGAAAAACTAAGGAGGAGGCACCGTGAAAGAAAGCAGTGCTTCCCTCCACTTCTTGGTCCCGCGGTTGACTTCCCTTGGGTCTCGTTTCTCTTGTGCTGCAGGCATATGAGCAACTGCTAATTTTTGTAGTTGATGCTAAAATGGATAATATATTCTAGAAAGCACTTTGGGTTCCGTACTTGCTCTGGTATATGACTCTCCCTCCCCCCTCCTTTTTTTTTTGTGTGTCAGGAAGATCAGCCCTGAGCTAACATCTGATGCCAATCCTCCTCTTTTTGCTGAGGAAGCTTGGCCCTGGGCTAACATCCGTGCCCATCTTCCTCCACTTTACATGGGACGCCGCCACAGCATGGCCTGACAAGCAGTGCGTAGGTCCGCTCCCGGGATCCGAACCTGCCAACCCCGGGCTGCCGGAGACAAGCACATGCACTTACCCACTACGCCACCTGGCCAGCCCCTTCCCCCTCCCCTTTTAAAAATAGATTTCCAATTGAGAATGAGGAGCTATTCTTTCCTAGAGCAAGGAAGCCACTGGTTTCCACTTAAGAGATGTTCAGTAAATATTATTTCACCGTGTCACAGGAAGGAAGAAAGCTTTGTGGAGAAAATGGACTTCTCTGCGGTTACCGACGACAGAAGAACTTGTGTAATACGGCTCCTTCTGGGGCAGATTCAACATACCATGCACGGGGGGTTCCTGAAATGCAACCATCTTACACCTGACACACTGGGTATATTTATTTTTTTATCAGCTGCTTTCAATCCATTCTGGAGCGAGACAGACCGTTGGCAAACAAGAAGCCAGCGCACTAGCATCCGAGCCCCTTGATACTGGCGTGTGTCACCATGATATGATCTCTCATGGGCAACCACTGGGTGCAATAAAACTCAGTCTCAATTGCATTTCAAATAGGATTACAAAAACGTGTGCCTTTATGAAAACAAACAAAACAAATCCAAACACCGAGGTAAGAGTGAGATGTGGTGATCCACAAACTGAAGCCCACCGTGAGAGGCTACAGAGGAACAGGCAGCTGGCTACGCCCTCCCCCACACACGACATCAGAAGGAACGCGGTGGCACATCCAGCCAGCGGTGCCTTGGGCAGAATGTCCTGATTCAAACAGTACTTTTAACCAGTGAATTCCGGAACTAACCCTCACAGGCACTGGAGGATCACAACAGAGACAGGGCTGCGGGGAATCCGATTACCTTTCTCGGCACTGCTCTCCCCAAGGCGACCCCAGGGCTGGAGCAGAAGAGCCCGATGTTCACACCCGGGGTGGCGAAAGAGGACTTGTCGCTCGCCACGGCGATGTCACAGCTGGCCACCAGCTGACACCCGGCAGCAGTGGCCAAGCCGTTCACCATGGCAATGATTGGCACGGGGTGATTCTGGATCAGCATCATGACCTGAAGGAGCAAACACACCCACTTCACTTCCAGCCAAGAGTGAGGTGCAACATTATTGCTGATTATTGTATATGATTTTACTGTTTTCAGAGTGATTTTCATATGCGTCAGTGTATCATTCTATGAAAAAGAGGAAAAGCAGTCAGTCACCAAGAGAACTGACTTGCATTAAATATTGATTATGAACCAGACTGTACAATTTGGTCTTCTGGGAACCCAGGAGGAAGGAGCCGTATTCTACAACCAGGACTTGAAGTCTCAGGGGGAAGTACCCTCCTCGGGCCACAGGATCCGCCAGCGGTGGCTGTGGGGTCTGAACCCGCATCTGTGGGTCTCCAAGCCGCTGGTCTGTCCGCCCCAGCACGACACCACTGAGAGCCTGCAGTCCCCTCCCACTGCTCCCCAGCAGCCCCTCTGGAGAACAGCGCTGACTGCGACCTTTGGGGAACAAACCCTTCTATTCCAACCGCGCCTGCCGTGGAGCCCTCGTGTCAAAAGTCTGAAAGTGATATTTGGTACTTCCTTGAAAAATTAAGGTGGAAAAGTGACTGGAAGGCAATGTCCTTAGTCATTACTTCTCACATTCCCACTGGGAATACTCTCTCAATTCTATGAATATGGTGGGAACACCCTGCTGTCGTCAAAATAAACAAAATTCCTCAAACAGAGCCATGGGCCCAGAGAGGGGAGCGCCAGCTTGCTCATGGGACACTCCTCCCTCCCTTGAATCTCCAGAACTTGAATTTATTTTTGAAGCTCATGAAATAACTTGTTTATTTCTGCATTTCTTCATGACACTCTAAACAGACTGTGTTGCTCTGGTAACTTCCATTTATAAATGGATGCTCTTTGAACCTGGCAGGGAGGGAGGGAGGAAGAGAAGGGGAGCTTGTTTCCCAGGCGGCAACTCAAAGAAAACCCACCTTTACTGATTTGAAGATTTTGCCCAAGGAACTTACCTTCTGTATTCATAAACATTTGGTATTTCTCAGCTTTACATAAAACAACCAATGATAGGGGCTGGCCCGGTGGCGCAAGCAGTTAAGTGCGCGTGCTCTGCTGCGGCAGCCCGGGGTTCACCGGTTCAGATCCCAGGCATGCACCGACGCTCTGCTTGGCAAGCCATGCTGTGGCGGTGTCCCACATAAAGTGGAGGAAGATGGGCACGGATGTTAGCCCAGGGCCAATCTTCCTCAGCAAAAAAGAGGAAGACTGGCATCATATATTAGCTCAGGGCTGATCTTCCTCACCAAAAAAAAAAAAAAAAAACCATAAAAACAACCAATGATATATTAAAGGATATAATATCATACTCTACAGTAGTGGTTCTTGACTTTTTTAGGGGGGTGCCTTTTGAGAACCTGATAAATGCTAATGCCCCTCGCCCTAAAAGAATGCACATGGCTATACCCGTACCCCAACACTGCTCATGGATTTAGGGGGTTCGTGCACTCCAGGTGAGGATGGGGTGTTTAGTGACAGAGCTCATCCTCAGTGAGCCGCAACAGCAAGGAGAAGGACACACAAGAACTTCTCAAGTCTCGCTGCAAAAAAGGAAAAGTTTTTGTTTTAGCTCTGAATGTCGTCTGTCGCCTAATGAACTGAAGTTACTTATGAAAAGTCAACTGTGATTAGAGTTGAACACTCCGTCTCCTGCCTGCCATCTATGATGGGCTAGAATTCCGTACAACCTGGTGGGAAAATACTTAGGTAACCCAGCATATATCAACGACATTAAAAATATTCATACCTTTCATAGGAATTCTACTTCCAAAAACTTCTGAAATATGGTAAAAAATGCTGTCTGGACAAAGATGTTCACCAAATCATTATTTTACAATAGTAAAAAAACTATAAATAGTATACACAGATAAAAATAAGTAATAAAAAATGGCTATGCAAACTAAACAATATCCATTTAATGGAATGCTGTGTTCTCATTGTGAAATTTTCCAAGAGAATTATCAGCTTGGTGGTCTGGGGCGTATGTAGTGGTCTGGAGCCAGGCTGCCGGGGTTTGACGCCCACTCTGTCACTCACTGGCTGCCTAACCCTCAGTTTTCTCATCTGTAAAGAGGGTATAATGATAGTACCAACCTTACAGAACATGAGAATTATATAAATATGTCTAAAGTACTTATAATATTACCTGGCACATAGTAAGCATTCAATGCTATAATCATACTATGCTATTACACAGTAAAATCACCACCTATGTATAATTATTCAGACAAGTACACATGGAAAAAGATTAAAAATAAATGTAGCAAAATTCGTATTAATTACAGTTTTCTCTAGGTGGTATGATCACGGTATAGTATCAGTAATTTATTTTTCTTGCTTTTGTTCTTTTAGATTTTCAAAATTTCCTAAGTACTTATTACTTTTATAATTACAAAGTATTTTAAATAAAGTTAGAGAACAATTCAGATGAGATAAAGGGAACAGAAATAATAAACAAGCTGGGATAATCAACCCCTTGATAGTCAAGAATTGATTAGACCTCCCCTTTTGCCTCCTGAATGAGGTCCTTTTTTTTGGTCCTGCCTACTCCAAAATGTGACATCAACTTAACTCTGCCCTAGCCTACGGAACAGCGCGACTGAGGGTTCCACGTTATTTCCAAAAGCGCGAGGCCTGTCCCGATGCCATTTCAGGGGTGGGTGTGAGCAGAGAGAAGAGTCTCCTCCTGGACTAGAGGCAGGGAGCGGGGTCTGGTGAAGGCTGCCCATCAGCTCACACAAGGTCCCTTTGGCTGTTCCATAACCCCGTGTTTCTCCTCATTCTCCATCTGCCCTATTCCCGATTTGTAAACAATTAACTATCATGCGGTACTTGTGGTCCGTAACAAATCTGCTATAGTTTTTAGAAGCTGAGCCAAGTCAGGTACTTTTATCTTCCTTTCTAAAATCAGACTTTCTCATGCATGAACCGAACAATGACTTATCTAGCTCATTCTGTTCTAATCTGCCTGCTGATTAGACGTGGAAACTGAAATCTTGCACAAGTTCAGGGTGCTCATATTTATCCAAGACGATTTAATTTTCTTAGGAAAAGTATTAAAGAAATCAATACACTTTCACTCCTACTTCACTACATTAGGGCTGGGTCCTGTGTAGACGCTGTGTCTTTCCAGTGAGCCGGAGGCATCCGTGGTTTGGAGGCCTCCACGAAATCCGGCCTGTATCCTCTGAAGCAGCCCTGGCTCCCCTGTGGCCCTCTGTGAACCTGTTTAGATCTCAGTTCATGCAGACACCACGGCAGACGGATAAAAGCAGGTCCTTTATGGAGGAGGGGAGGGCTCTACTGGTTATCTTTGATGAGTTTCTATTTTGGCCAAATATACTGGGTATTAGTAGAAAAATAACTTCCAAAGCACGAAGCCTTGGCAAACACAAGAGCAGAATGTTACATAAACATCATTAACGTGAAACAAAAGCCCTATGTCTTAGCTCTGGCTTGCTGCCACCTCTCCATGAGGCCTCAAGTCAATCGCTTTTCTAGTTTGTCCCTCCACGAAATGAGAAAACTATAATCTGATCTCTTTATGGGTTTCTGGAAGGGCAAGGAAAACAAACGATGGACAGAGAGGTAACTTAATCACCTTCCTGTTCACCTCCCTCTTGCTTACCTCTGTCTACATGATAGGAATCGTTAACATTTGCTAAATTATTAATGACCAAACAAAAGAATAAGTCAATGAATGAATGAAAAATTAGGTCAAGTAATCTTAGGGTCAGGTTATGAACCTGTTTTTTATGTCTTCTTTCTTAACTACATTTCCAGTTTCAGTTTGGCAGAAAACTCTTTTTTCCTTCTATTTCTTTCAAGTTTTATGTATATATTAGTGCTCAATAAACACGCATGAAATGAACAATGTGTTA